AAACTGCCAGGCAGTTGTGAGTATTTTACCTAAACAACACCCCCCCAAAAAAAAAAACCCCATCAAACTCACTTCCATCCAGTCGATGCTGACTCATAGCAACCCTTTAGGACAGGGTAGAAGTGCCCCTGTGAGTTTCCAAGACTGTAGAGACCTCTTTTCAGGGGTAGAAAGCCCCATCTTTCTCCTGTGGCCCAGCTGGTAGTTTTCAACTGCTGACCTTGCAGATGTGTGACCCCTGCACCACCAGGGCTCCTGCCGGATAAATTGTTTCAGATTAAATCTGTAAGAATGAGGAAGAGCCTTGCAGGAGCCATTCGAAGCTCCGTGACTTTGATGAGCCCCAGAGCAGGGGTCGGCAACAGATGGATGGACCTTGGGCCAACAAGGCCCCCAGTCTGTTTTAGTAAATAAAGTTTTATTGGCCCTCAGCCATGTCTGATCTTGTACATATTGTGTCTGGCTGCTTTGCTCTGCAAGGACAGAGTGGAGCAGTTGGAACAGACGCCGTCTGCCTGCCCCGTGCTGGAAATATGGACACGCTGCCCTGCCCCTTTGCAGGAAACGTTTGCCAAGCCCTTGACGCCCGTGTGTGCTGGGCCGGTCCAAGTCTTGTGTTTACTCCGTTAATCTTCCCAGCAGCCTTTGCAGCCCGGACAAGGGGCCCCAGAGGTTTGGGAACAGACCCAGGATTCCACAGAGCTGGGCTTAGTCTCGAACTCTGGGCCCTGATGTATACCTCTCCAATTTTGTTTGTTTGTTTACTGTTATGTTTGCTGAAGGATCTGACGTTCTAAATGCTACCGTGAGTGTCCTTTTGGTGGTACAAAGGGAGGGAGGAGATGCCAAGGCGCGGGAAGGGAAAGGCCCGCCTCCCTCCCTCCACAATCTGGGGCACTTCCTGCCATAGCTTTCTCCAAAGCGAAGATTTCCCTTCCAAAGCAGGCCTATTCTCTTCCTTTCTAAATCTCCTTCTGTGTGAATTCAGAGGAGATCACATCTCAGATTAACCCTTTGGCCTTCCTACAACAATGTTACAACTCCTACGACAATGTTACCAAACCTCCCAACCACCTGCCCTGTTGCTCCCCGATCTCCGCCCTTCTTTTTCCTTCTCCTTCGCCCGGCCCCCTATTTCCTGGATTCCCAAACCAAACTTCCTGCCATCCAGTTGATGCCGACTCACTGCCCCCTATGGGACAGGGTAGACCTGCCCCCATGGGTTTCCTGAGACTGCAGCTCTTTCTGGGAGTAGAAAGCTCTGTCCTTCTCCTGAGGAGTGGCTGAGGGTTTCGAACTATTGACTTTGTGGTCCGCAGCCCCACCGCATAACCAGTCTGCCCCCAGGGCGCCTTCATTTCCTTGGTTCACAGTGGTGAGATATCGCTTGCCACTTTCCCCGGGCACTTCCATGTCCCCCGTTACAGTGTCCCTGCTGTACAGCCCCCGATGGCTCTCTCTTCCCGAAGCTTTTTTGCCACCCCAAACAGAATCTCTGTACCCACAAAGCAATGCCTCCCCAGCTCTGCCCCCAGCGCTGGTCACCGCTAATCCACCTCCCCTTTTGGATTCATGGGACTGTTCTAGATCCTTCCTGAAAACTGAGGTCTAAATCCACACCTAGGCGCTGAGCTGGCGCGTGGGTGGCCGATCCGCAGCAAGGCTGGCGGTTCAAACCCACCCATGAATGGTCACTGTCCAGGACACCCAGCGGGCAGTTCGCTCGGCGCTGTCGGCTCCACACCATTTGCAATTGGCCCGGTGGCAGTGGGCTTTGTTTTGATTTCTGGAACGCCTGCATGCAGACTGGGATTGCTTTTCTAAGACAAAGGCAGGCATCTGGAAGAAGGAATGTCTCCTGCCCGACTCCGGACACCCATAAGCAGGGGTGGTGGTGGTGGTTGT